GCTTTCCCGCTCTCGCCGTGCCCGTCCTCCAGCATCTCACAACGGGAAGCGGTTAAAAGAAACTAAAACAGCTGACGAGACCCACGTCGGTAACGGCGAGGGGAAGGAAGAGGGTTTTTTATCACTTTCGCATCTTTTTTGGGGAGAAATGTGCTGTTTGTGTAACTAACTCTTGCGTCTCTCTAACCGTGTTGCCATCACCAGCTTCTTTCTTGATATCGCTTTGCTGAAAGGATGGAGGCTTGCTTAGTCTTTAAAAAGCTGACTTTCTGTCTCAGCAAATTTGTCAGTAAATTTGGACTAAAAATCTGGACGCGTTCCTGGGCAACCTGCTCTAGGTGACCCTGCTTTAGCAGCAGCGTTGGACTAGGTGGTCCCCAGAGGTCCCTTCCAGCCCCTGCCAGTCTGCAACACCTATGTAGAAATCCTCTTTTGACAAGTTATTTTGCAAAAGTTATTTCAGGAGTTAAAACCCTGATGATTTGGTAGGCACCTGAATAGTCTCTCTGATGTTCAGAGCTTTTTAGGTGTAGTAACTGATTCGCTGTATGAAATTTTTGAAGTCTAATCAAGATTTTTACAGAAAAGTAGTGCCACAGAGTTTGAACAGATTTCTTTTTTCCAGCGGCTTAATTGATGTTTAAGGCATTTGTTTTCTTTTGACAGTGTTTGTTGATGACAGAAAGGCCTTCATCATAAAAGCTGATAGCAAGATATGGCTCACTTTCCTTCTGGGTAAGTAGGAGGGCTATGTCGTGGGGGAAACACAGTTCTTTTTACCTTTCATTGTGAACTGTTATCAAAAATTTGGAAATATAGCTTTGAAAACCAGAAAAGGTGATATTGAAAAGGGTCAGGAAATAAATTCCTGCCTGGTAACTCTTGTAAAGCTGTTATTGTAGCAGTTGATGGGATATCAGAACATTTGTAGGCAAATAATGCTCAAAATATTATTTATGGATGTTTCCTATGCAGTCATTAATTTCTAGCAAAAGCAACCCCGTCCCTTATTAAGTCATGTAGGCAAAACTGCTTATTTAGGAAGGATTACAGATGGAAGAATATACAACTGTCAGGGGATGCAAATTCAGGTGTTATTATCTTTGGGTATATTTGGGCTAAATAACAAAATTTCTAATGGCCAAAATCTTGGAAAAAGCCCCTAAAATATTTTCAAAATTAAATAAGAAATGCATTCCTGAAGCTGACTGATGTTAAATAACAGCATATTTGTCAGGTGCACAATTAGATATACTCTTGAAAGTATTGTTTTAAAAGACTTGTGGGGTATTCCAAAGATGCTGGTCCTATTAATCATGCCAGCAGCAGAGCTTGTTGCCAAAGGGAGTTTCTTCAGCTTGATGAATTACATGGCAAAGTAATAGCAGGGAAACAACCCTGAGCTTACAAACTAATTGATGAATAAACTGCTCCTCAATTGTTTCACTTATCTCTGTTTATTCAGCATTTCTTAGGCTGGCTGTTACTTAAACGACATAGAAACACTCAACTGATGGTCAAACTTGAAAAAAATGTTTTCCTTTGATAGAAATTTGAAAGCAGAGTAGGTAGAAAGCTTTCTAATTTCTGGAGTTTGGATTTGGTTGTAAAACCCAGATAACCAGTTAAATACTTCAGGGTGCTATTTCTGTATTTACTAGGAGTAAACCCTTAGTAGCAGAGTATGTAACAGCAGACAGTATCTGCAATAGCAGCAAATGTACATACACTAAATATGAACTACTGTCCTTTGGTTTCCTTTAGTGGTGGTTGAATTTTTGTTGTTTTGCTTAAGCTTTAAGGTCCAAATTTTAAAACCAGAGGCTCCCATGGTTGGAGCTAGGTTGGTTATAGGTGTGGATTTTTTTTTCCCTCTGAAGAATTATCTCCAATTTACGTGTGACAATAAAGTTGTCAGATTTTCAAGGACATTTTTAAACTACACTTTTGCCCTATTTATGTAGGTTTTTTTTAATGACCATTCAATTGAGGCCTTATTCTTGAAGACATCCTTTCTAGGTTGCACAATGTCACAATGAAACCTCTTGACTGAGGTGCTGAAATAGTCAATGCTTGCATATTCCTCATTGTTCCCAGATCTGCTCTATTCTTCTCTATTCCCTTTGGGGATACTTGCAAAGCTTTAATCAGGTTCTACTACATTTCATATCCTGTTGCATTACAGTATCTCAGCATTTGTTGTTCTCTTGCTAAATGAGTTCTCTATATTATGGCTTTATTCTTCAGTATTTGATTTCCAGAATTAGAATGCTTTTTATATGCCACTCATACTGCTTTTCTTGGAACAGAACACAGGCAAAAATAGGAAATCTGGAGAATAAACTCCCAGATTTTACATAATAACCCTAGTCTGCAAAAACCTGATGGTGTGCTTTGCTTTTAGAGATTCTTAGGTTGGGTGAGAAAATGGCATCTGCAAGTTCAAGTGTGTAGTAGCTGTATAAATCTTTGCAGCATTAGGACTCCAGTATTCCTCTCCTGTCCTCTCCTTCATTCCCTCCCCAGCAAGGATGTTAATGGGTTCAAAAGGTGGTAATTAAAGGGAGCTGATCTGCAGGCTTTCCATCAGGAACTAGCTTTATATAAGTCTGGATGCAGTCTGTTGCAAAATGCTGATTTGGACTCGCAAGGAAAGTCTACAAATTAAGCTTATTGTCTCTTGGAATGTGAATAATTACATGAATTTCTGTGTGATTATAAAAGGTCTTAGTTTTATATTTGTAATACAATGATACTGTGAAGTTTTATAAAAATGCATATGAGATTCTTTAGAATAACTGTCTTTACACTCCTGTGTTGACTTTAAATAAAACCAAAGAGAAGAATCACTTTTAAATACATTTCCTCTGTGAAATAAGTGATAGGTTTGAATCTGAAATGTGATTTCCATATTAATAGATAATTAATTTGCAACAGCAAAATACTGCCTATTTGACTTACTTGGAAGCACATGAATTTGAAATCAGTGAACAGTACTGGTAGCTAGTGTGCATTTATTTTGATTTTACTGCATATTCTTACCTAAAATGTAATCTGTCTTCAAATTGGTATTTTTTTTATAGTGGGGGGGTGTATATGTATATTTGTTTCAGCATCCAGTCTTATTTGGAATCTTAGAATTCTGAGAATTGAAATAATGCCTTGTGCAAATGTGAGACTCAGTAAGTAATGACTAAGAAAGGTGTGGACTGCTCTTTCTTCCCATACAATTACTGCAAAACGAGTTCCTTTATGGCATGTGGTTTGATGTGCTGCTGCTGGAGCTGATGTGCTTACCTGGAATTCCATATCCTCCCCAGAGCTGCTTTTCTGAAAAAGGAATTAGCAGCTCTCCATGAGAACTAACATAAATGTCCTCAGTACAGAAAAAAATGTCTGTATCTCCTGAAGCTTTCCAAAACCATTGAATTCCAATTAATGTGAACTATACTGAGCAAACCTGTGAATTTGTCTTCTAGAAACTATAGGTAAAAATGTGAAGTTTTAAATGAAAGTTTGTGGTATTCATTTTGTAACTAAAACCCAGGCTTCTCTTTGAGAAAACGACCATAGTGACTGAAATGGAGCTGAAAAAACATTTAAGGAGGTTTCAGCATAGCTTTCTACAACCTCAACTACTGTGTGGAGTATGAGACTTGAGGTAGATGTGAAACTGTACAGGGAGGTTGTCCATCCTTATCATAGGGCCCCTTGTATGGCTGAAGGGCCCCATGAAGGTCTCCTTGGAGACTTCTCCAGCCTGAACAACCCCAACTCTCTCAGCCTTCCTTATGACCTGTGTTGACAACAATAAGTACTGCCAGCAGCAGCACCTCCAGGCTCTGGGCTGGAGGAACATGTGGTTTGGGAATGTATAGTAGGGCATGAAGGGTACACTCAGCCCACTCCTTTTCCACAGAAATTTAGTGGCTTTTGCAAAGGTGTTTTTCATTCCCTTGTCCCTGCTGCTTTCCAGAAGCAGACCATGACCTGTGTGTAACGTGCAGCCTGAACACAGGGCTGGTCACTACCTCCCAGGCTAGAGTCAGCATCAGTCTGGAGGTGTTTGATGTATGGTTGAGCTCCATATGGGCAGCTTGACCTATTCCAGAGGTGAGGGCAGTGCCTGGGTGGGTGCCTCTGGGCTGGAGGAGGTGGGTGCACCTGAGCACCCTGGAGAGGAACGTGGCACTCAACACCTTTCTGACTCCAGCTAGGTATGAGCAGGGAGGGTGGTTGTCCTCTCCTCTTCCTCTCTGCTCCATATAGCCTAGTGAATAAGAGGTCCTGTTGTTAACTGTAAAGATTTCTTGGATTGATGGCAACTAGTCTGCCTGGCTCTGTGGCAGAGAGCTCCTGTGTGCCTAGAGGGCAACCAGAGCACCTTCAGTCTAGAAGGATGTCTCTCTAAATTCCTACCCTTCATCCCTCTCCCAGGCTGGCTTTGCTTCCAAGGCAAGCTCTGGATAAGTTGTGAGTGCTGCCCAAACAAAATGAAGCAGCTGCTGCTACTAAGTGGAACTTACAGTCAAGAAATCAGAGACCTAGACTGTCTACCCACCATTTTATCATCATTTGTCTTTTCCCTCTGTCCTTCAGATTACCTTCCTTGTTCTGTAGCTACATGACAACACAGCAGATAGTCTCCAAATGGAATCATAGAATCATTAAGGCTGGAAAAGACCTCTGAGATCACCAAGGCCAACCATCAACTGAATGTTATTACATGTACAGTCTACCTTTTTTAGCAGTTAGAGTTTCAATTAGATTTGTGTTGGTTGTCGTGGTCCATTGGGATCTTTGGAATTTACAGGACTCTATGTACTCTGTAAATTGAACTTTATTTTATGAGCTCATTGGGAAAGAAAACAAGCATGTCAAACAAGGGCCCAGTCCACTTTGTGCAGGTTTGTCTAATATGGGAATTCACTAACTCAGCACTTAAGGCATGAGGTTTCTTGGTCACAAATCCTCTGTTTTGGTACTTTTAACTCCTGATGTGCACCTATGAGGAGTTACCTATCTGGTGGTGGGAGTGCTCATCCTTCTTCAGCCATGGTGTAGCTGTTGCCTGTATCACACCAGGAACCACAAACCCTCAGCAGTCCAGCTGCTGCTGGATCTGCTTCAAAAGCTTTTTAGGTAGCACGATGTATGTGTAACTTCCAGCTTGGGAGTTTGGTCTGTACCATTTCCATGAGTTAGCAGCCCCAGAAACTGCTAGAAAATCAATGTGGGAGGATGATAGCTGTAGGAGTCAGCAAGCTGCAGGTGATACCAGCTGCATAGTGACCTTCAGCCCTTTCTGGCCCTGGGGTCCTGCCTGTGAGTTGCTCTTCCTTTGACCTAACAGTGCCCCTAGCACACAGCAGGCCTTAGCATGAGCTTTGTTAGCCAAAATCTGAGCAGGAGCTGAGTGAACAGGCACAGCAGGTATCTTAAAAATGTTAAGCATATTTATGCTGATTTTTAAAAAAAAAGTTTATAATTCAGTTTTGTTATTGATAGTTAAAATGAGCACATTGGATTCTGATGGATCAGCTTGAGTGATGCAGGATATAGGTGAGAACATCACCTGTTCCTGAATACCATCAGTATAATGTCAGATTTTCAAAGAGCTGGCCATGAAATTCAGAAGTTCCTCTTCTTCTCTTCCTCTGGAGGCTGAGTGTCTTCTGTGCATCTCTGAAGTAGCACTGCAATTACTCTAATGAACAGCATTTCATGTTTGATTATTTAAATATTTGAGTAACTTGATGCCTTTTGTTTCCTTTACAGCTGCTTTTGCAGGAGTCCTACATTGGTAAGGTTAAATTTCACTGTTTGAGAGCAATATGGTATTTTAAAACAATAAAAAATATAATTTTTATCATTTAGACAAGCTATTGGGATCATTTATATTTAGATCTCTGCTTGTAAAACCAAATGGTTGTCTCTAAAGTGAATAATTCTGTTCTCTGATGTGAAAAGTTTTAAGCCTGTTTCATGAAGAGTGAAGCCTGCTTTCCAGGTGGAAAATTGTTGCTTAGCTATACAAATTCAGGTGCATTTCCACCAGCAGATTTTTACTCAGTGACTTTTGAAAGTCCAGGTAAAGCCTTTCAAATTTCTCCTATGTTCTGCTCATTTAGGTTCTGCTTTGATTTCCTAGTTTGACATGTTTTTTTCTCACCTCTTCAGAGAAGTTTGGCCCATGTTTTCTTTGCGTGCAGCAGAATGGCCATTTCAGCTACTTTGTGTCAACATATTCCTCCTGTTTCAGGTTCCATCCTAATCCTCACCCTTCTTTTTTTTGAGTATAGACTGGAAATAGAATGTCTTCTGTAATGTTTGTCACCAGCTGCTTTTGCAGAGATAGAAAGTAACAGCTTCTGCCATTCTGTTTTTGTTTCCCAGCTCAAAAAGAACTATTGATTTTTTAGTAGTATGTTTCTTGCAGATTCCTACTCAAAAGCAGAGTCATGTGCACTGCTCTGGCTCTTTCCATCCTCTCTGGAGATGAAGCTCCTCTTGAAAGCTACAAGTTTAGCCTCCAAAATGATCTGCATTTTTCCTGGCTTTTTTTTCCCCTCTCTATAGTTGCACCTTTATGTATAGATTTTCTTACCATCAAAAGTATATTTAATAACAAATAACTGTGTTAAAACAGAAGTCAAAGGGATTTTTGTGGAAAAAATAGGCACAACTTGCACATGCATCATTATTTTAATCAGTTTTTAATTTGTGATCCTTTTCATTTGTCATTTGAATTTTCTTTCCTAATACGTAGACTTGATAGTTTTACTAGCACTAATCTTTTGATCCTTAAGTGTCTGCACTCAAAATACATTAGAGTATTATAAATAATTCTATAATGCAATAAATGTTCTATGAGTTTGTATTTTTTTTCATTTAAAATCCTCTGAATAATGGAGAACGTTGGTGTAACAGGAGTAAATTAAAACAGCAGTTTGTAAGTGAACTTTGGGTCTTTGCTGAAGGGTTTACCAGCTGCTCCTTGGTATATATGACTTAGTAAAGGTTCTGAAGCTCTAATAATTTCTTCTTATTATTTTTGAACAGGTGTCACATAACAACTCTCTTTGAAAACGATCGTCACTTTTCTCACCTGTCAACACTGGAGAGGGAAATGGCCTTTCGCACAGAAATGGTTAGATTGGTTCAGGAAATTCACTGACTGAGAAACTTCCATCTCTAATCTTGTGCTCCTGACCTTTCCCAATTTTCTCAATACCCTCTAGAAGAGTAAATGTTGCTGTTTTCCCACCAACATGCCTTACGCTGTTACATGCAGAGCATTTGTGTCTTGCAGCTCGTCACTCTGGATGTGTCTCTTCACAGTTCACTTAAAAGATAATTTAGAAACATGATTCTGGAGGGCCTAAAATAACATTACAAGTACTTTGTAGCTTCCTTTTAATCCTAGTCTTGTTATGCAGCGTTTTTTAATAATTTTTTTTTAAATTAATGAATGTTTGCATATGTATAAACCTTTTGACTGCATTTAGAACTATGAAATACTATTTTCGTGCATGGTTACCAGCCCAAAGGAGAGATTTTGAGATGTGCTGTGAAACAAGGTGGAAGGAAACCCACATTGCTGCTTACAGCAGTGAGGTTTGAAGAGATGTGAAAAAGTAGATAGTCATCTTGCATCATTTAGTCCTGCTTTTTATATTACAAAATTTGATTTAGAAACAAAGCTTGTGTACAGCAGTTCATGAAGCAGAATTGACCTTTTTAATCATAAACAATGCTTCTGCTCTGCCATAGGGTCTTTATTATTCCTACTTCAAGATCATCATTGAGGCACCATCATTTTGGAATGGAGTCTGGGCAATTATGAACGACCGACTAACTGAATACCCTTTAGTGATTAACACCTTACAAAGGTTCAATCTTTATCCAGAGGTGAGTCGTGGTTTACAAACAATACCTTCTGATAAATCTTTGGTTTCTGTAGATTTCACTACAAATTTGTAAGGAATGTGACTCTGGAAAACGTAGGTGTAAAGATACAGTGACTAATGAAGTGTTGCTTGAATAACATATTGTAGGGCCAGATTTAAAATGAGAAAGTTACTTTGTACATTGTGATCAATTCTCAGACTTCAGGAATGTCCAATCAAATTGGGAATACTTTCTAGATTTTAGTGTTTTGTGCCCTAAAGTTGCAATCCAATTCTATGCTTGTCTTTTCACTGAAAGCAAGAGGAAAGTCCAATCAAATTGGGAATACTTTCCAGTTTTTAGTGTTTTGTGCCCTAAAGTTGCAATCCAATTCTATGCTTGTCTTTTCACTGAAAGAAAGGTGCTGCCATTGTGTGCTTCAGGAAATAGGAAATATTCAGGGTCAGTGGTGTGTTCTAGCAATGCCAGCAGTGCTACAGGTATTGAGGGGTTATTTTGGGATGCATTTTGTGTAGGATGATGGACTAACACATCACAGTTCACTGTGGCCCTAAAATCCATGAACAGCAATAGTTTACTTGCATGTTGCAGAAGAAATTCCTCTGTGGAAGACTGACTGCTGTTGTTCTGTACATACTTGATGTGAGACTTGTTACCTGGTTAGATTGTTCCTACTCTGCTTTTTTGTCATGAAAAACAACATGTCTTTAAGTACAATGTGAAAATTTTACAGAAACACTTTTTTTTTTCTCTCATGGTTTTGCCAGCATGTCTCAAACATTTTGCCAAGGGAAAATAACTTAATGTACATTTCTGTTCCTCTATGTATCAGCAACAGCTTATGTTTTGGAGAACCAAGGACTAATAATGGCTGTTATTGTTGGGTGCTAGCATTTATACTCATTCTCCTGCTTTTTTTGAGCAGAGCTGCTTGCAGGAGCTATATATGTAAGAGTTCTCTGTCTGCATGTATTTATATAACTTGCATGTTGTGGTTTCATTTTCTTCTTAATTCCTTGCTTTGGAACAACTAAATACAATAGATGAGTGCTTTCTGTTACCCTCTCTCTGATTTTGGGGGTTGTTTTGGGGGCAAGTCTGGGCTTTTTTTTTTTTTTGTCCTGGTGTGGTTTTTTTCTTTAACTCTAAAGGGATTGCAGTTCAGTTCTAGAAATAGAATATTAAGAACATGTGCCTTATTTGAATACTATAAAGTTATTTTCTTTAGCTGAGAAAGATTTATTCATTTCAGCTATAGCCTGGCTTGCAAAAATCAAAGGTAACTGGTCAAATTAACTGGCTCTTAGGGAATCATCAATATCACCATGAAAGATGACTAAGTAAGTTGGATGATGAAGTCAAAACAAGAGCAGTCAGATAGTGGCTGATGTTCTGCAAGAATGTTAGGTAGGTGGCTGTGCAAAATGTGGAGGTTTTCTGTTCATTCAGAGTTTTCCAGGATCTTTCTGACTAATAGAACTTGGTGATAAGGTATGAATTAATTAATTGTTTGTGTACCTCTCTGGGCGTTCAAAGCAGACAAATAGTCTCCTTTGCTCCTTTCAGGTTTTACTGCTTGATGTTTGACCTTCCTGTAAAGAGATTTTTCTTTTTGAAGTGTGTTTCTTGAGTATTCTTGTTTCCACATAACTACATCTATAAAACTGTCAATAGGTGCAACTTGATATTTGAAGTATGTTCTCCAAATTTGTCTAATTTTACTTATGGATATAATGAGGGTAGGTGATGGGAAGATGCTTGTGGATTATTTGTTGGCAGTGAAACTTTTCCTTCTGATACTCAGTATCCAGTCATATTTTCTGAAAGTGTTTCATTTCCTGTTGGACATTTTGGCATCTTTCCATTTCTCTTTTGTGAGATTCCTCTTGGCCCATTTCTCTGGCCTGTTGAGGTCCCTTTGAATGGGAGCACAAGCATCAACCCCTCCTTCCAATTTTGTAACATGTGCAGGCTTGCTGAGGGTGTTCTCATCCCATCATCTAGCCATAAAATGTAGAACACTTAAATATATGAAGAAACTTTCCTGTGAAGGTGCCAGAGCCTGGGGCAGGCTGCCCAGAGAGGTTGTGGAGTCTCCTTCTCTGGAGAGATTCCAAACCTGCCTGGATGTGATCCTGGGCACCCTGCTGTGGGTGAGCTGCTGGAGCAGGGGGTTGGTTGAGGTGATCTCTAGAGGTCCCTTCCAACTCCTACAGTTCTGGAATTCTGTGTAACAGAATTGGCACCAGATTAAAAAAAAAAGTATGATCTACAGCTGTCCCTTCATCTACCCAGACAGTCACCTCAGAAGGTTATGAAGTTGGGCAGGAGTGATGTCCCCTTTGTCAATCCATGCTGACCACTTCCAATCACTTTTTGTTCCTCAGTATGTTTGGAAGTAGTTTCCAGGAGGATCTACTCCATCCCATTCTCAGAGATCAAGTTGCAATTCCCTGTGTTTCTTTTGTGCCCTTCTTGAAAATAGGAGTGACATAAAGAGTTTTATTAATTGTATGAGGAAGGAAAAGAGAGAATCATCCTTCTTGTACACGTTTCCTGTGACAGAGGGCTGAGACAACTTATACTGCAGTGGTGAAACATTTTCAGTCTGGGAACCCTGAGGTTATAACTTTCAAAGCAGCTCAACTGGAATGGCCACATTACTCATTTATGAACCCTCTATAAAGTCAGTTATATCCTGAGAGAATAGCCTGGTAATGTTAAGCAGTGACTCTGCTGGGAGATGGGTCATCATTTTTCTGTGTGTAAAATACTGATGCTTTTCTGTTTCAGATGTTGGGATTTAATTTGGTTGTTAGTATAAGAACATTATGACCTGTGGAGGGAAAATGGAAATGCTGGCTTAAATTGCATCTGGAAGCCCTTTCTAATGCCTGCTTGAATTTAACCTATCAAAGTTTATAGAAGTAAAAACCCTAAAGATTTGGTCCATTAATATTCTTGCCAGGTAGGGGAAAAAAAAAAGAAACCAGTTAGTTTTAATTTGACCAACTGTCCCCTGTCAACAAAACCTGGGATTCTAATATGTGATAAAAATGGTTAAGTGGGGAACCTTTCAGACAATATTGACTTATAGAATTTTTTTCAAACATTGCAGTTTGATGCATGAAATTATTTCTCTTCTAAAGCAGGGATAATTTTAGCCTATAAATCATAGAATCACAGAATGGTTTGGATGGGAAGGGACCTTAAAGCTCATCTAGTTCCAACCCCCCTGCCATGGGCAGGGACACCTCCCACTACACCAAGTTGCCCAAAGCCCCATCCAACCTGGTCTTGAATGTGTTCAGTGATGGAACATCCACAACTTCTCTGGGCAGCCTGTTGCAGTGCCTCACCACTCTCATAGTGAAGAACTTCTTCCTAACTTGTAATCTAAATCTCCCCTTTTCCACTTGGAAGCCATTTATCCTTGTGCTGTCACTACAAGCCCTTAACACACACATGGTCTGTTGGATGCCTTTAGGTCAAAAATGCTAAATGCTTGAGAGAAACTCCATGTTTGAAAAAAGTCCTGGATGAGGGCTAGTTGTCACTGAGGTTACCTTGGGCACTGAGCTATCCTCAGAGCTCCTTTTCAGCAACTTCAAACCCTGTTTTCCACCTAGGTGGTCCTCGCCAGCTGGTACCGTGTCTATACTGCCCTTATGGATTTCCTTGGTGTGCCAACAAAGACATGTTGGACTGTAAACAGAGGGAAAGGGCTCAGCCCCGTTGAAAGCTGTGAGGGTGAGTTGTGTTTTCTTCTCCTTTCTCCCTGGAAGCATATAATTGTGACTTTATGTATTCCAGAAGTAATAAATGTTCCTGTGTCTGTCACTGACGTCCTTTCATTTGGCCAAGCCTGTGTTTTTGGCAGGTTCACAACAGAAGTGAGAAGCATGAAAAAAAAGATGCTTTTAAGAAGAGCAGGGGTGAGAATGTGGGCTTTGTTTCTTAGCTAGCTCCTCCCTAGGCTGGATTCCTGGACTGCACTTCAAAACTTCACAGTTGTAGTCTGAACCTTCATCACGTGGGTCTGTTGTGAAGAATCAGATGTCTTAAATTTAATTGGGGGCCACTGTGCATGTATTAATTTTTTTGTAGCTTCTGTAGACTCCCCAGTACATTCCAAATTCTGGCATTTCAAAGACTTACCCTCTGTATTTCCTCCCCTAACTACAACCTGAGGAGAGGGGAGGATGGGAAAAACTATTCAGCATAAGGATTTCAATCTCATACTTTGATTTTGATACTAAAGCTTGGGTGAGGCCTCTTGTTTTGTTTGGGGGCTTTGTTTTGTGTTGTTCCCCCCCTATTTAAAGTATTGGCTTATCATGTAAATATTATGCCACAAAAGTACCTTGCCAAGAAGCTCTCTTGAGATGTTCTACAGTCAATTAAAGCTGAACAGTAGATGGTAGCTTGTGGAGTTGTTTCATTTCATCATTTAAAATGTCTTTGTGTGGTGACAAGTTAGTATTTTTCCTTTGCACAAAGGCTTTAAGAACCTTCTCCAGAGCTTGAGTGATTCACTTGCTCTAATTTTGTCAGAAGCAATAAACAGTGAATAAATGTCTAACCTTTCATTCCTGTTCTTTGTAAAAACAAAACCAAACCAACAAAACCCACCAGCTGTTGAGACTACCATGTTTGGTGAGCATATCATCACCTCACTTTAGAGAGCTGTCTTCCTGCATTTTTAGCAATGGTGAATAATCATCCCTGCATATGAAAAGATGAAGTTTTGCTACCTTCTCTATGATGAATAAGGCTTTTTATTCTGGGCTGCTGAAATGATTAGAGCCAGGAGGGTTTAAAGAAATAAATGGAAAGAGAATAACCACAGAAGTGTGAGCTGGGAGGTGTCTGTGAATGAATAAATTGAAAGACTTGCATTAGTGGACAATTTCTTGGCTTCTAATGAAACAAAGCAAAGAGCATTGTGTGGGATATGTTTAAAGATGGTTTTACTCCTGCAAGAGAAGGGAAGTGAGAGTATAGGGAGTACAAACCTCTTCTAAAAAGCTTTATGAAGTCAAAAATGTAGAGAATGTTCTTATGCTTTCTATACATGGCAGGTTTTTTCTTTTCAGTTAGTGCTTCCCTCTTGGCACATTCTGTTGCTGACAGCCCCAATATTGAGCCTGCCCCTCCTCTATTCTTTTCCCACAGAACTTTACTCTTCCAACTGAACCTCCACAATAACCTTGGTGACATTAACTATTTTTTTGTTGCCTCTCTCTGTAGCTATATTAAAGCAGTATGCTGTGTGCTGTATTACACTGATTGTATGGTGGTTTATAAAGAATTTGGTCTTTCTTCTGCATTTGACAATGTGTTACCTGTTTCTTTGTTAGGGTTGGGAGACCCTGCTTCCTTTTATGTTGCTGTGATTTTTCTTTTGAATGGATTAATGATGTCACTGTTCTTCATATATGGTACATACCTCAGGTAAGGCAGTTGAGACTGAGCTGTTTAGTTGGCACTAGCCATCAGTTTTTATACAAAATTTGAGGAAAATGCTGAAGTAGTTTGATGGGCTGTTGCTTATTTGTTTGTACATTAATAGTGCTTTTTATTACATACATATTGTCACTAAAAAACTACTGGAACAGAGAAGCTTTGTGCTTCAAATAAAACATGATGCTGGAAAAAGTTGTGGAAAATTTCAGTGAAGTGATATCTCATTGATACCACTGAGTTATGGATAAAACTAAATGCTGGACAGTTTTTAAATGGTTTTTGACAGGTTTCTACTTTTAAAATTATCAGTGTAGCTCATTTCTGAAGTTTGACAGTCTACTTTTAACCAAGACCTAGATCACCTTTCAAAGTCCCTTCCAGACCAAAACATTCTATGATTCTTTGACTGGAGTTTTCCCAGTGCTGTATCTCAAGTTCTTTTGCATGTCATCTCAATTTTAACTTAACTGGGAAGGCAAGATATTTTTTTTAAGGTAATGCATTCTTTCTGGAGATATGTATATGGTTCCCTTTTTCTATGAATTCCTCTTTTCAGTATCTGTCTTTAAATTTCAGGAACTGTTAATACACTTGCATACAAAAATAGACTTTCATGTTCAGCAGAAAAACAGAAGTGTGGTTCAAGTAAAGAATAGCACAGGCAGGAGCTGACAGTGAAAGTGTTTGGGGGTGAAATGTGCATGTTTGTGTTCCTTAACATAAGAAACAAATGTCTCATGTTTTGAAGAAGTAGATACTTTGGATATTTGTATCAATTTGTCATTTTTTTTTTCTCTTAAGGTATATCGCAACCCACATTTTTATATATTTATATAACTGAAAAACCAGTAAGGTCTCTATTTCCCAGTGCTTATTACTTTGGATATTTGTATCCATTTGTCATTTTTTTTTCTCTTAAGGTATATGGCAACCCACATTCCTATATATTTACATAACTGAAAACCCAGTAAGGTCTCTATTTCCCAGTGCTTAATTTGTCATTTTTTTTTTCTCTTAAGGTATATCGCAACCCACATTTTTATATATTTATATAACTGAAAAACCAGTAAGGTCTCTATTTCCCAGCGCTTTCCCTAGACTTGGCCTGTGTTGAATATAAATAACTACCAAGCATTGACAGTAATTCAGTTTTTAATATAAATAATCTACAATGTAGGTAGTGAAGATGCCTAGAATATTAATGCAGTTCTGTCAAGGTGTAAGTCTGGGGTTATGAGAAGTAACAAGTGACTACAAAGCTTCCTGCAGGTAGGATTTAGTTCCTATTAATTATTCTGAAGAAAATTCATAGTTGGAGACCAGATCTAAACGACTGGTTGGCCATTATGGCTTAGTCAAAGCAAGCCAAAATATTTAGGTTTTTCCATAAGGTGTGAAAAATAGAAGAACTGAATCTGGAGTAATGTTTTATTAAACTGGAGTAGGTAATCTTCTGAATTAGCATAAGTCTCCTCCATAAAGTTGATTTCTTTCTGCTATGCATTTAGAAAAGCTTTTTCCATAGCTTGGCACATTTGATGGTGGGACACCATCCTCTAATATTTTCTGTCTCTTCATTCATGAATTTGTTAGCAGTAATCATGTCAAACCTACATAATTGCTTTTTTCTTTTTTTTGTTTTTAATCTGTGTGTTCACAGAACATGTAATCTTTCTATTTCAGCCTTTATTTGCTTTTAGTCTCTTTGCAACTTTGCCTAGTGATGCAAGGTGATAAGATAGTGGAAGAACATTTCCTTATCATTATTTTCCAAGCTAATATGTGTTCTCACATCTGTGCTGGCTGTATTCTGGGAGCTTGCCCAAAGAGTTAAGCTAGCAGACAGCTAGTTGCTTTTGTAGCCCTATTTTTCTTTGTAGGACTAGTTTTTGGTGTGTAGCTCCCTTAACCAATTTCCCCACCAGCTTAGGAGATTTTCAGACATAATATGTCCCTGCCCTAACACTCTGTGTATGGTCTCTGCTTATGCAAATGTGCTTTGGAATCTTCTTATTTGATGCAAATGAGTCTTAAGCTCTGGAGCATTCTCTGTGGGGATAACTGAAGCAATATGGTGAGGACTCATGCCATTTATTTTTACTTATTTTTTATGGACAAAAGAATGGCACTTGGATGATAAGTACTTTATGCAGTGGTGAGATTCTACCTCCCCCCAGCCTTTCCCCCTCTTTTTCTTACAAAGGACAGGACACTTAAGCTGACTGTCAAATAACTGCATCTTGAGGAACTACCAGCAGATTTCCCATTTCTGACAGTACTTTTGCAGTATTTTGTTTCTTCCATTTTACCAACTAATTGCATTTCCCCCAGGTGACTTTAAGCTTCAGCTTATTGTACCCAGGGAGTCAAAAGACTACTCTCATTATTGCCAAGCTGACTCTACCACATGAGGTGTAGCTGTTTGGGTCATCTGTAGCTCATTAAAAATGATAATTTATTAAATTTAGATTATTCTGTATTAAGCATGGAGGATGTAGGTTCCAACTGAAAGGCCTGTTCTTTACTAATTGGAGTGGGGAGTTTCACTGGAGAGATTAATCCTTTATCTTCTGTTTTGCCACAGAAAGGTTTAACTACTGTATCTCCTAGGTGAAAAAATAACCAGTCTAACTCAACACTCTACATAACCCTCTGTGAAATAAGCTCTGTTCACTTCCTCTTGTGGAAGAGACACTGACATGATGCATTTCCCTCTCCTCTGCTGCAGATTTACTGATCTCTTCTCAATGTGGTGAAATAGTGATCCCTTACAGGGGCTGACAGCTCTCACACATTCATTCAGAATACAATTGACACCTCTCTAGTCTAGAATTTAAGGTTTTTATCACAATGTTAACCTTTAGCATAGACCTTGAATCTTATTTCTATTTTTGGGAAAGTTTTTGCAAACCTTGAGTCTGCTTTATTTCTAAGACTAACATTTTTTTTTTTAATATTAAGCATGTTATTTTAGCTATTTTGGGTTTCAGTTTACAATTTGTCAACTGAAAGGTTGAGTTTTGTGTAAGAATGCACAATTCCTGGAGATTGTTTTAGCATTCAGGTGGTATCTTTAATCCTCAGATTCTGTGCCCTGATTGTTTGACTTTGTATATTAGGGATGGGTGAAGGATCTGAGGTGTGTTTTTTCTTTTAAAGATTCTTAACAGCTGACTGATAACTTCAGTAGCCAAAGTGATATCTTCAATCATTTGTAGTAGTGCATTTGTTCTTTGATTTATATCCCAGGACATGAGTAATTGCAAATCTAGTCAAACAAAAAGGAAATTTTATCTATTGCTTCTTTTGAGCTAGGATCAACCCAAGTAGTATCTCTGGGCTTAGTGTTGACTTCATGGTGGTAATTGTTCAACGAGTGAATTTGATTTGGTTTAAAAAGGTTTAAAAATCTTTAAGGGCTTGAAAAACTTTCATGTTAACATCACAGTGCTCTGCATAAGAATTGAATTGTGTCTTGTATTGACCATGCCATGAATTAATTTCTAAATAAGTTTTTTGAATGTGGTTGATTTGATTACCCTGTGAGAGTCTTAGATTCAGACCAAAGTTCTCTGTTGGGTGATTGACTGTGCAAATTCTTAAGGTTTCTGCTCAACACCTTGGGGAAGAAATGCACCTTTTATATTGCCTGGTGCTGAAAGAGAAAAAGTTTGACACTCTTCCAGACTGAGCTCTGGGTACAGCAGATGAAGCACCAGATGACATGATCCAAACTGCAGTTTGTGAGGAGTGGAATAACCATTTTCCACGTTTCTGATGTTAAAATTGGTGCTCTGCAGAAAAGAGCTGAAGTATGAAGAGTGGTCTGCTCTGAAAGAAACATTGGCTAACTAGTGTTGTAGTATTATGTGTGTATGCTGGAGATTGCTTTCTTTTAGTGCTTGAAAACATTCTCCCCTCCTAAACTTAGCTGTAGGTAAGTGCTGCTTCACATTTTTCAAGCAGCACTGACCATTATGGGATTCTCTTGTACCTATTTTCCCCATTCTCTTCACAGTGGGAGCCGTCTGGGAGGCCTTGTTACTGTGATGTGTTTCTTTTTCAACCATGGAGAGGTAGGTCTCCCTCCCCAGCCACCCTGTTTTTGTAGTTTCCCTTCTGTTTTTGTAGTTTTTTTAAGTATAAGATAATTATCATTAAAGACAGTGATGTTGCTTATCCATTAGGGGATGAATTTAAAGGACATAAGACATTTAAAGCAAAATAGTCTATGACTGAAAATGTTTAGCACAATCCAATGTGTCACCTTAGATGTGGAACCCAAAATAATCCAGAAAATATTTTGTGTTGTGTTCCAGCCACCCTCCTTCCCTTCTGTTTTTGTAGTTTTTTTTAAGTATAGGATAATTATCATTAAAGATAGTGATGTTGCTTATCTATTAGGGGATGAATTTAAAGGGCATAAGACATTTAAAGCAAAATAGGCTATGACTGAAAATGTTTAACATAATCCAATGTGTCACCTTAGATGTGGAACCCAAAATAATCCAGAAAATATTTTGTGTTGTGTTCCTGAGATTGAAGTTTGACTAGCACAATGACTTCAAGTTTCAGAACATCCAACTATTCTGTTTTTGTGCCCCTTCCAGATGTAGCTGGGCTACTTGTACCATGTGAACAAGCTTCAGAAATGGAGGTTTTCTTTAAATTTTTATGTATTTCCCTGGAAATTCATGAATTCACACACAAAACCAAACAAAATCCCCAAATCTCTACTCCTGATGCACTACAGGCTACACAATTTAGAAGCTGTATTTGTATAGAAATCATTCCAATGTTAAACTTTAGCAAGCTGCAATGACAGGAGGGGAAAAAGAAACAAAACCTGTAAAAGAAATTGTCACTTAAAACATCTTCTTATGTCCCCAGCTGATGCTGTTCATGTCACAGTTTCATATTTTTAGAGAACTCCTGGCTTTTATTCTGATATGCTTGAAAAGTGTTTCTGGTTTTTTAATGTTCATTTTATGTGTGTGACATTATAAATATTTATTTTGACTTAAAATGCAGGTGTACTGTAAAGATTTTTTAGGCAGAAACTAGCTACTTTGTTTTTGTTAAGGGTTAGATTTATGGCTTTTTTTCTTATTTTACTGTGCTGAACTTGATAGAAAACTCTTGAGTAGTAAGAATATGTAGCTGCACGTAACAGAATCAAAGATGCTTCTATTCATGGTGAGCTTTGACAGTTTCCTCATAAACCACAAATCTGTGATGAAATAGCTGTTTTGTTTTCAAGTTTCATTTGAAATGTTTTTCTCCAAATATCCTCTGGGAAGAATTTTTCACCCGTGGTCCAGACCAGGCAAATGTCACAGAGTTTCTAACCTGGTTTTGGTGCTTTTAAGAGGGTAAATACAAAGTTTTCTGTGGGTTTCTATTCTTCTCAACGGGGTTGTGAAGTGGAGTAAATGTTTTGTCCTTTTCTTGGGCATACTGATAGAGTCTGTGCTGTTTTGCCAAGTCTTTGAAGGTAATGAAGTGTCATTTCAGAAAGGAACAAGCTGAAAACTTCAAAGATAGTGGTAACAGTAATGAAAAGAAGCATTTGATGGCACAGGCAGTCCTCCTATCCATAGGAGACCTCATCTCTCTCTATGGGTGACTTGACTTGCAGCATAAACACAGATAATGTGTGTATTTTGGAGAATAGCATGAAATTAGGTCTGCTTAGCTCTACACATAGCCTGGGCTCAGGTAGAGCCTTGGTAGGGTGACCCTGATTCAAGCTCAGCCATGTGGATTCAGAAATTTAAAGATTTCTGGAGAGCAACAGGACTTTTTGCAGAGGGGCAATGTCAGATCTCAGCTGCCTCTTGGAGTTTGTGCTGGAACTAGTGAAGTAACTCAGAGCTGTTTGATATTGTGTGTATGGTTATGGTAATATATGTAATTATCTGTGTGTAGGTGGTCTGGCTTTACTGGGTGTACTGTTGGAACACATGCAAGAGGTTTGCATGCACGTGTGTATATACAAAATATTCTAATTAACTCTTTGATATGGCTTTGATTCTGTGGAAATCATCTTGCACGTGGTTCAACAGTACATACTGTGGAGCTGGACCAGTTGCTAAAAAATTAGCTTTCCTTTTTATCTGCAAGTCTTGGTATCTCAGATGTAAAAGTGATTTTTCCTTCTGGCACTGAGCTAATGATCCTGTGGCACTATGTTTTTTATTTGTGCTCTGCTTGGGCTACTGTGTTTTAATGATTTCAAGCTTAGACAGATCTGATGTATTTATACCTGCAGCAAAGTTAGTTCCCAGCCTTGATAAATCATTCACAGGTTGATTGAGTTTAGTATCACATTCCAAATAGAGAAAAATAACATGGGCTACATCAGTCAATTCACTTTTAAGGTAATGCTTCCTTTTTATGGTTTTATGTGCTCAGCATTCCTTTCCTCTACCTCCACCAGTATCAAAAGATTTGGCAAATCAAACCTTGCTGCAGTCTTAACAATAATCAAGAAGACTACACTGCTTTAGAATAAACATGATTATATTAATTGCTAATAAACATATTTTTAACTAATTGTATCTGTGCAGTCAGCTGAAGACAACACTTTAATGTGTATTTATGAAAGGTTTATTTTAATGCTAATCAGGGTGCAGCTTTTAGAGTGGCTTTTAGGCAGCAAAGACTGATTCGTGTGATGGGCTTCTGTACTTTCCATTTATTTTACATTATTTCTACCCATTTTTCTCACTATTAATTTAACACAGTTGTGAAATAGCAAGACAAAAAGCAAGATTATAGGAAGTGAAGGAGAAGGAACATCATGGCATCAACATCTAGAAGCTTTAATAAATTCATTGAAGATCAACAATGGTTTTGTCCTGTTGTTGTAGAGAACTTATTTTTAGTGCAAATCTATTAATATCCATTTTGAACCCACTTGTTTGTATGTCAAAGCTGTCCTCTCAAGTTGTAATTATTTTTTTTTGATCAGTGCCATCTGCAAGCCCTTCATAAAGAGCTGAAGGTAAATATTGGAGATGAGAGTTATAGCTGAGTCATTTGCCATGAACCCCACGAAATTAATGGAAGAAAAGCTATTCAGTTGTCTTCATTGTATTATGCTGTGCTTCATTAAAGAGTGAAGTAAACAAAGAATGAAGTAAATAAGTGTAAGCTCTGCAAGACCTTAATTTCATGGGTTCAATTTTACTGGCCAGTGTTGGAGGGCAGCTTTGGTTTTTAGGCTTTCTGTGCTGTTGCTAGTAGAAATGCAAAATGTTCATCATCTAGAAAACTTGAGTGTAATGAAGGGTATGTTGGTTGCCCTTCAGATCTAGACAGTGCATCATAGACCTCAAGTCTGGAAGCTGCTTCCTTTTGCCTCTTCTTCTCTGCTTCCTGGCTTCTTTTTTTTTTACATTCTTTGAGGAAAAACTCATGTATCTTGGTTTTTATTTTATTGAAGTATCTATGGTCATTCATTTTGAAACAGAAATGCTTTATTTCATGCAAATGTAGCAGCAGCAAATGTTATCATCTAACCCAGTTCTTATTTTTAGTGCACTCGTGTCATGTGGACTCCACCCCTGCGTGAAAGTTTCTCATACCCCTTCCTTGTCCTTCAGATGTTGCTTTTGACCTATATTCTCAGGTACCTCTCAAATTATACTTCACATTTTACACTGATGTAAAAGAATGGAATGTCCCAGGACGTTGACTGAAGTGTATTTATCTAAATCTGTATTAACATAGAAACTTTCCTGTGGCTGTTACATTGCAGACGCTGCACCAGTAGAACTGCAGTCATGTCTCACTTATTAAAAGGACAAACTTTGCAACTTGAAGACACAATTAAAATAAAAATCAGAATTACTGTGTTGGCAAACATGTATCTAAACTAAAAAAAATCAGAATTTTTGGTTGATGTCACTTCCTTCTCATGAGAAACAAGCTGATACTCCATCAATTGGTTTTGTCCCTCTTGGAGAGTGGTATGTTGGTTGCACTTAGAATAAACCTATGCTATGCAACAGCAGATGCTGTGGGCACCCATCAGCTAGTATGTTCTTGCACTTTTCTATGACTAACTAGTCTAATTAACTAGTTCAATGACTCAGAGCAATCTTAATTACATTAATGCAGGGATGCTCTTGAGTTTATTAGCCCTGCTTTTCCGTGGTTGTTTCTGCCTTAAAACCTAATTGTGTTACTATCTTGCCTCTTCTGAAAAATAAGCATGGTCCTTAATAACTGAGGGCTTTTCCACCAACTTCGTTGCATCAGATTTGCAGTGTATTTATGATTTAGCTGAACTTTGTACTGGTAACTCCAGATTTTCCTTTATTAGACCATACTGATTTGTAGTTATTGCTCACTAAACTAAAAATGCTTTGTGCTAGTCACTAACTTGGGGTTTTTAGATGAGGAAAAGGTATGTGCTGGCTAGGAAAATGTTTTACAGTATAGCTTGTAGAGTGATTTCTAGATTTCATGTTAGAAAGGCATCTGTTAATTTAATGCTAAATTATGAGGTCAAACAAACCAAGGAGATGAAGCTAGGGTGATCAGAGCACCTAAATTCTGTACCTATAATTATGACATTTCTTAATTAGGTAGATTCACTCCTCTTCTTCAAATCTTGGTACTTAAATAGTGCTTGGGCTTGCTTACCAAGAATAAGTAGGTATATAATCTAAGCATTTCAGAGCAAGGTTCCAAAAAGGGGATAACACATTTTGACTTTGTTTCTCAGTTAGAATTCCTGCATCAAGAGCAACTCTCTTTTCTGTATGGCAGTATTCCAATGAAATACAGGAGCTGCTGTTGAAATGGAGACTGAAGCTTAAATTCTCCATTATTCCACTTGTATCACATTTGTGTAACATATTACTGAATACCTTAGACTCATTCTCAGCATGACATCCAACAGAAGTTAATCTCAAAAGGCTTTTTAAAAGAAACTGAAGAAAATTCTACAGAATTTAGTGGGACTGCTGTCATCTCTTGGTCTTGGGTTTTACAGCAGAATATTTAAGGTGTCTTCATCTGTTGGAGGCCACTTATTGTAACTTAAAGCATGATGTGTTTTTGAAGTGAACTCAAAGCTAACACAGGATTAAATAGCACTTATAGCAGAACATAGAACAGGTGCTTTTAGTTAAAGATGAGTTTCATGTATTTGTCATTGTCTTCTGCTCTGAGACCTTGCTCAGGATTGCTAGCAGAAAGTAAACATAGGAGAGGAATGAGAGAGAGGAGAGAAATCACTTTCAGCTGCAGACTTCTGATCATAGTTGTGATCCCAGCTGAAATGGAAATGGTTGTGACCTGACTGCAGAGCTGTCAAAAGAAGCTGGACTGCTGCAGGTGACATATTACATGCTGCCAGGAGAAGACTTGTTTGGTAACAAGTCACTCATCAAAGAGTTAAGAAACATTAAGCATCAGAAGTAGAGTTTTTGGAAGCTGTGATGGAAAATGGAAATTAAATTTCCTTGAGCAGTGATTTGCAGTTGATCAGTGCCAGTAAATGCCAAGGTAACTTTATTTTTCTTCCTTTCTCTATTGTACTTTTCAATAATATGCAAACACTGGTGTAATTTTACTTACTGATGCCTCTTCTGTCTCTTTTTCCCAAGGATTCCGAATATTAATACAGGAAGCTTGACTGCACTGTGTGTTTCTAATATCTTTTTCATGCTTCCCTGGCAGTTTGCTCAGTTTGTTCTTCTAACACAGGTAAGACCATATTCACCTCTCCAGAGCCTTTTGGTCTTAGCTAGGCAAATTTGGCTGCTTTGTATAGGGATTCACAACTATACCAGTGCTTCCCTTGCAGCCAGATTTGACTCTTGCTCTCAGGGAAGATTCACAACATTTATCACAATATTTTGCTAGGCTTAAAGTACTTCTGTTTTCAGGAGTAAAACCAAAAAATTACTTTTCTCTTAAAGCAGCCTCCAGCCTAAGAGCAGTGCATTAGAACAAGAAAAAACTTTGTATATTGAAGTACAAAAATTAAACAGGCATTGATTTTGTGTCTCTTTAGGCAATTCCAGGTTCTTAAGTGGAGCAATGTTTGCATGGCATGTAATATCTGGCATGATTTTGCATGGTTTCCTATTTGAGTCTGTGAGTAGAGGCATAATCTTACTGTCTGAAGGTTCAGACAGTGGAGGTAACTTTAGCTAGTGTTGGAAACATAGTAAATGCTAATGTGAGCAGTTGGCTACTGTCTCACAGCACATTTTCTTAGTGTTTAAATTGATTAAAATGTAGCCTGTTGATGGAAATCCATCTATGTCTCCATACTCTTTCACTTGTCTGTCCTACTTGAATCAAATGCTGTTTGGTTTGAGGTGATAGTTGTATGTGCCATGGTACTGTAAGATTTCTAACTGCAGAAGAGGAAGCCATTAAATTCTGTAACATGTGAGAAGCTCATCACTGCTGCCAGTTTCAGATGCTAAGTCTGGAATTTGAAATTACAGGTTGAATTCATAATTCCATTGATTTCCCATGTGACTTTTAGTAAGCTGCCTAAACAATAAATCTCATTTTCCTCAGCCACAAATTAAGGGTGCTTCCATACTTTGCTGAAAATCCATGGCTAAAAAATGTTAATGAATTCTATATTTATATTTTTTAAAAAACTAAGGGTGAAAGATGATGTGTTAGTGCTGGTTTGGTGACTTGGATTTTTAGAAAGCTGAGTACTTCTTTCTTAAAAATGGGAATTTGATAATTATTATTCAGAGCAGCACAAGCTTTATGAAAGAAACTTCCATGAAATGCCTAAATACTTAGCAAAAAGTAGCAATAACAGTTAATGATTAAGTAATCACTTTTTTTATGTGACTGTGTATTCTGCTAGAAGCAATAGACCACTGCAAATGTTTTAAAATTACCTTTCACTTTTGATTCTAGATAGCTTCGTTATTTGCTGTGTATATTATGGGTTATATTGACTCCAGCAAATTACAGAAGATACTCTCTGCTCATATGGTAATACTTTTTTTTTTTTTATTTTTAACCTTAAATCCCCTCAAATGAGTTTGAGCATCAATTGAAAAGGTGCAATGATAAGGGATGGAGGGGCCTGGATTTGAGGATTTAATCTTGGCTATATTTATATCACAGTGTCAGAAGCTAAGATCCCTGTGGTACACAGGAGACTTTTAAATCCAGAAGAATTATCAGCCTAAAAGATTTGTAGAAATATTTTCATATTCATTCCTTGGACTTAAAGATACTGTCTCAAACAACAGCCTAGAAAACATTCCAAGTAATAAAGCAAGAGCACTAAGCAGTTGAAAGGACAACATTCATCTCATGCCACAGGTTAGCAGAAACAAAAAGTGAGGTGTTTGTAAGTCAAAATTGGAGAGCAGACTCTTTATCAGTGAAGGAGAATGCCAACTAAAATTGGGTTTTGAAGGCTACTGTAGTCTTGACCATGCAACGATGTTGTGGTTGAACTGTTTGGCAAGATATTTAGAAAGGAGGACAAAGAAAATGAACTGTTAGCCTGAGGAAAAACTATTTTTTTTCCAAAAATGGGTGAGAAAATCAACAAAAGGAGTTCATAAAGGAAAGGCATGCAAGTTTCTGCATAATATATCTGACTGTCATTTTTGAAGTTAAGGTAATGATCAAATTTTGCTACCAGGAGTTTTGCTATTTGAAATGAGATTACAGTTTTAACCCAGAAAGATTTAAACAACAAGTTCCATGCAGCTCATTTCTGATATATGTTCAAAATGCTGGATCCCTGTCAGATTTTCCAGGCAAATTTACAAATAAACATCTTGGTTTGGTAATTTTTTTTGACAGAAGCAGGATGAAAATGGTCAAGCCTTTTGGCTTACGTCAATAGCTCTATCAGAATTTTGGTGCCAAAGTGTCATAAAAAGCCTCTTTTCAGACAGATGAACAATCATTTTACATTACAGAGAGAGCTTAATGAGGCTGGGTAAGCTGCCAGTCTTTGTTTTGTGGTGTTGGCAAGTTTTGCACCCCCATACTTTCCTGTGGAAAATGAGTCTCACTAATGAGGAGGGGAGTACAGAGTCTACAAATTTTATAAGTAACTATATTATTTTTTTCTTTATTCCTGTGTGTAGAAGAAGACAGAGATTGATCATTGATTTTGCTCTCCAAGTTAGAAAATGTAATCCAGCTTGAGCTGGATCCATCAGGAGATCAGGAGGGCAGATAAAAGTTCTGTTTCAACCTTGACTTTCATCCTTGACCTTGAATATATTTGAAATATATGTTTCTCAGTTTGGAAAAAAAGATGACAACAAACATTTTATTCAACATTTCTATGTTTGTCAAGGATTCTGAAAGATAACAAGCAGGATGGAGAAATAATATGGAAAAAAAAAAATTAAATTAATAAGTTAGGAATCACTTCAGAAATGTAGCTGTTATATCACATGGGTTAGCCCTATGGTCTTGTTGTCTGTAAGTACTTTTACAATATAAATTAACATAATGATCTAAACTTGGCTGCCTGTTGCCATTAAATCCTTAGAATTAGTGTTTTCAGAACAATTCTGTAAGCTGAGTTTCAAACTTGAACTTGCTGTGAAGTAGGTGTCTTTAAATGTAAGCCTGCTGGCACAAGGTAATTTCTATAATTAGGCAATTGTTGCCATTTCCATTTTAATTATTTTTATTTTCTTCTTTCAGGTATCTCTTGTAGTGTGTTTTATTCTGATGTTTGGTAATTCAATGTTGTTGACATCATATTATGCTGCATCTTTAGTAGTTATCTGGGTAAGTTGTTTAAGAAAACAAATGTATGATATGCAAAGACTATTGCTGGACTTTTATGTATTTATTGATCTAAAATGTGAAACTGCTGCATTACCAGATAATTGAGAAATCCCTGACATGACAAACAGAATTAGACCTTAAAAGTACTTGGAGAATGAGTTGATACTAATTTTAAAAAAATCTTGAGTTTTTACACCCAAACCTCCTCATAAGAGAAATTCAGTTAAGGCTGTTCTCTTATTTTTATAGCTCTCTCCATTTTATAACAATGTAAAATGTACCATGTCTGTATTTTTGACTGGAGTAATTGTAGAACAAGAAGGGGAGCAAAGAGGAGTGAGTTTGAAATGCTTCTTTATTAACTGTGAAACTGCAAATGCAGAACAAATGAACAAAACCATACATAATAATGGTTTAAGACTGATTGAAACTGCTGAATCACATTGCTGTGTTAGTGAAATTATTTGATGAGACTCATCTCATCATTCATTATCTTAATTTTTCCTTAAATAGGAAAACCATTAGACAACCTATTTCATATATTTTTTTTAGGGGGATTTATGTGCATAGGAAGTAAGAGCTAAGACTGTGTGTATTAATCCCTTTTAGCATACTGCAAATAATTTCCATTTCTGATCTTGCCTCTACTAGAAGCTTGGGGTGAGCTCAGTGATTTTTTTTTTTTCTTAGTTATTGTACATCAAATTAGCTTAAAATGAGTCCTCCTTGTGTCATAAAATGGGGAACATACTGTGAAACAGATACCAGTAACTCCTCCCACCCCCCAATATTCTGTTACCTTGTTTCAAAATCATTTATATTATACTATCAGTAATTTATTTATTGCTTCAGATGTCTCTTTTCATTTGTGGAAAGTGACATGATTCAGTTTCCCCTTGCCTTTGATTTAAAGAGGCTTAGAACTATGTAATACAGAATATTACTTGTTAAGGAGAAGATGAGTCTTCCATTAATTTTACTTAAACTCCAGTAAGAGTTTTGATGTTGGCCTCTTTTGCCAGTGTGGGGTGAAATCACAATATTATATATTCATTCATATTTCAGGTTGTATTAATGATGGAGGTTTTTTTAATATATAGCTGTGTGGAACAATAGGCACTTACCAAAACAAACAACAAACCCCCTTATCTGGGGTACTGGGGTATTTTATTGTTACTATATGTTGCTTGAAAACATTCATTCATTTTATTATTAGGGGATTGTTGAACTGAGTCCAAAAGTCTTGAAAAGCAGCAGAAGAGAAGTCTATATATGGGTAAGGAATTTAATCTCTTTTGAATTTCAGTTTTTGAATTTTGGGGTTTTTAAATGAAATACAGAAGGAACCTCTGGTCTAGTTTCTAATAGTTGAAAGTCAGGAAATAAAGCTGAACTACTCCCTTTGATAAATCGTCCATGTTCCCAGAAATTAAACTTAAAATTACTGAAAGAGTGTAAACATACAAAATTAAACGTGTTGCTGTTTGAAGGTTATTTCAATTTACTGATATCAATGTATTACCAACTTAAATATATTTACAAAACCTAAGATCTGTATGAAAATCCCTTTAAAATAAAGAAAAAAGCAAGTAGAAAGCTAGCAGTGCCTGCAGGATGGAGATTAAGATACTGCATTAGATATTCACTGAAATGTGTCCTGTTTAATGGTTGGGTTTTTTTAATAGAACAACAGCAGGCAACTTGTAACCACATAACTAAGCAAGACATCTGTGAAACTGCAGACCAGTACTTGTCACTTTTGGAGAAGGAAAACTTGAGCCTTGATGAACTGCTTATGGCTGTATGTGCATGGAATAAAATCAGATAGATCTGATGCAGCCTCTGGGAAAGGGAGTCAGATGTGTTTGACCTCTTTGAAGGATGTAGATGAGGGTGTGGGGGTGAATGTAGTGCACTTGAACTTAAGAAACCTTTTTTGACAAGATATCTAACTGGAACTATAAAATAAAATAAACTCAACTCCATGGGATAAGGTATGAATGTTAGAAGGGTGGAATTAAATGGTAAATTTTCAGAAGACCACCACCACCCTCAGTATAAAATAACTTCCTAAATCAGTCCTTGATTTCAGCAGAGAAATCTTGGTATTCTTATGGAAAAAAAGAAGTTCTGTGAACACATCAACTCATTACTGAGCAGGCACCCAGAAGGAAAACCATAGTATTATAGAATGTATTGTGTTGGAAGTGGCCTCTAAAGGTCTAAAGGCTCAAAAATACATAATGGAAGCCACAGAAAAGGAGCTGCAGAGAAGGCAGAAAGTATATTTTTGTAATATATTTTGTAAACTCATACTTAGCATCCTAAATATTGCAGCCTCAGTCATTGTATCTTACTTAAAAACCAAACCAACCAACCCAAAAGATAGAATGCCTTCCCCCCAAAGTGTACCACCATGAAATTTAAGTGGACAGAGCATGAAGAGAATTTCTACAGTAGGATTGCTAAATAGCTGAGATTTTAAAATAGGTTAGGATTCTCCATCTTGGAAAATAAAGGGAAATATGACAAAGCCAGTGAATAGAAGCAGGATATAATTATAGTTTATTTAGTGCCCCTTATGCTAGCAGCAATAAGTTTGTAAGAGAGAAGAAAAATACTGTGGAACTAAAAAACCAGAGGCCTTCAGGAAAGGGTCAGGTACCTCCTGGGTGTTTAGGTTCATTTGCAGCCATTAAATGGGACTATTGAAAGCAACCTGTTGTCACAAAAAAACCCCTGGTTATGTAGAGTTTATAACTAGCAGCTCAATTTAATTAAACCTTTTAAAAAAGAAAAGGTTTCCTTAAAAATTTGTTGAGGGACATTTATTTCTTTCTGATTTTTTTTTTTGTTTTTTTTTTTTAAGGTCATTGAAGGATGGGCCTGGTTATTTGGGACAGTCACCTTGAAGTACCTAACCTCTTTAGCATTTGGAATAGCTGATGATGTAAGTTCTCTTCTCTGAGTCTCTGACTGGTGTCTTTCAAACATTTCTGAATTCTTAATGTTTGATTTTGGCACCTTACTGATCTGCTTCCCTGCAATTCCAGGGTTTGGTTTGCAGAAATGAGAGAGGGATTGCATATTTGCTTTTTCATTTTTATGTTATCCCTTGGAGGTGTTATTACCAAAGTTTCTAAAAAGACAAATATTTTTACCCTTGGGCTAGTAAATCCTCTGTGTTTGTATTTAAACATGGGTTTAGAGAGCTTTGTTTATTTTGGGTATCTTCTACCTACCTCTTTTCTTTACTCAATTTCTTAGTTCACTTCCCTCTGAAGGTGATGTTTAAGACAGTTCTTAAATGCTCATTGTAGCTAGAACTCCTCCCTTCACTTCAGCCCCTCTGTTGTCACATTCTAGTATTAAAAACCTATCTGTGGTTGTGCACCAGGAGGCAAAAAATACCTTAAATATATCTTAAAACATACAAATGCAAAACTATACTCTTTTTGAATCCAGTTGCAATGGTAACACCCTTTATCTGCTGCTTCTTCCTTTTATTTTATACTCCAAAGATGCCTTTCAATGCACCAGAAATAGATATTTAATGCTCTTTCAACAATATTATAAATGATATTAGACTATGTTCTAGTTAAAAAGTATTTCTCATGTACATTTAAACTAATTGGTTGTGTAAAACAAGATGTTTTTTGCTTACTACAGCTTTTTTTTTTCCTGTATATTTTAACAGGCTCATATAGGAAACATATTAAAATCTAAATTTATTGGCTACAAGGATTTTGATACGTTGATGTATACCTGTGCTGCAGAGTTTGACTTCATGGAAAAAGAGGTAATTTGATCAAAAAAGAGGATTACAGAAGAGGGAACTTTTTGTTTTATCTTCATTGATAACTTAAAACATCTCAGAGCCATAACCTCCTACTACCATCATTAGTTCAAGTATTTATTTGTGAAGTTAGAGTCATTAATGAGTTTAAGATAAATTTAACTGGTTTTATGGATTTTAAATGAAATAAAGACAAAACAAAGTATTTTGATTTTTGGATCTTGCTTGAATGTTTGCACAGGGATAAATGAAAGGTCACAGTTCTGGAAACTTAAGATTTTATGTGGCTGTCAGGAACTGGTTTTGAGTCTATGGAAAATGTACTGAGAGCTGCAGAGGTCTTGTGTGGTAGGTTTAGGCTACAGAAGAGCATCAAAGCTTCTTAATGTGAGGTTAGTAGACTTCAGCAGCATCTAGAGGTGCATTTAGAACATTTATAGGGAACTCAACCAAATTCAGATGAGATTCAATCTACTCTTAGCAATTAATGCAGTTTATTTCCATTTTAGACTCCAGTAAGATACACAAAGACTCTGCTATTACCAGTTGTTCTGGTGGTTTTTGGGGTAATCATCAAAAGGGTAAGTAACTGATTTAGTGAATCACCTTTACCTTGGATTCTTAAGTTTTTCTGAAGGGATCACTATTTATTTTGAGATGGAAAGAAGTGAGTGTGGTGGGTTCATCTTGGCTGGCTGCCAGGTGCCTGCCAAGTTGCTCTATAATTCCCTGAGGACAGGGGCAAAAAAAAGAGTTGAAAACTCTTGTGGGTCAAGGTAAGGACAGGGAGTCACTCCCCAGTTTACTGTCATGAGCAAAATAAGCTTAAACTGGGGAAGATTAATTGAATTGTCAATTAAAAATACAAAACTAAAGCTGCCTTCCCCTCATCTCCACCCTGTTCTTCTCAGGCTCAGTGGTTCCCTCCCACAGGCTGCAGTTCTTTAAGAACTGCTCCAGTCTGAGCCCTTTTCATGGGGTACAGTCCTTCAGGAACCACCTGCTCCAGCATGGGTCCTCTACAGGTCACAGCTCCTGCCAGGACACTTGCTCCTGTGTGGGTTTCTCTGACCTGCAGTTCCTGCCAGGAGCTTCTCCATGGGTTGCAGCTTCCTCCAAACCATGTCCACCTTCTTTGGGGTCCTTCACAGGCTGCAGGGTGGGTGGCTGCTCCACTTTGGTCCATGTGCTGTAGGTGGAAAACCTACAACAACATTGTCTCCTCCACAGGCTGCTCTGGCTCCTGGAGCACCTTCTCCCCCTCCTTCACTGACCTCAGTGTCTGCAGAGTTGTTTCTCTCCCATTTTTCTCACTTCTCTCTTGAAGCTGCTGCAGAATGGGTTTTTTACCTTAAACATGTCATCACACCAGCATCACTGACAGGCTCAGCTTTGGCCAGCTTCTGTTTTGAACCTGACTGGAACTGGCTCTCTCTGACCTGGGGCAAGGTCATGTAAACATGATACAGAATTTTAAGCAAATATTATTTTTTTTAAAAAAAATCATCTGTATTTTATCTGACTGCATTTTATTTCCATAAATTTTGCAGAGGTCCAGTTCTGAGTCAGTGGTAAAACTCAATTTGGTGTTAACCTCCAAAACATTTTCTGGCACTTAGCTGTTGAGTACTATAACTGAAGTTTATAACTGGGTTTTTTTTTGCAAATTTGATTATGTATCATTTGTGTAAAAACAGCTTACAGTTTATACAGGAGCAGATGGGATAACTGCTAACTGCCTGGCTAATTAAACACCCTCAAAAAGAGCTCTCAGCTAAACCATTGCCTGCCTTTATCTTAGCATTATCTCAAAATGAGGTTACCCAGGTGTAATTCAAGTTAGCAAATGTTGAAAATGCTTTAGAGTGCTTTTGGAAGTTTATTCATGCTTTTTGTTGGCTCTTCTTTCCTCCAGGCAGTTAAGTATCTTCTGTGGGCCTTATCTCAGGCAGGCCAATATGAAAGGTAAATAGTGTCTTCTTCTTTAATGTGAAACTGAATGTTCTGCTGGAAATATTTGCTGTATGCAAAATAATTCAGAATTCTACATTAAACTGGTCCTTTTTAAAGAGTTAACTATGTGAGGTTCAGTAACTGAATGGCTTGGATGGACTATGTGGGGTAATTTTATAGGATATCTAAAACTTTTGGGCAAGTAAACTTACTTTTAGACATCTTAACCCTCCTACCTCCAAATTTTCTATTTAATTGCTTATTTCTGTGCCCTGTTCCTAAAGCAATATTTATTTATGTGCCTATTCACTGCTGTCTTATAAATAGTGAATGCACATTCTTTCCTCCCCATTATATTTTGTGCAGGTTCTAAAGGTACCTGAGTTTCATCTTTAGGAAGGGATCACAACTGAATTAAAAAGGAGACAATTTATCCAAATCAATGTTGTCATTGCCCTGATGTGTCTTTTTGCTTCATGTTTTGGATGTTTTTTTAACTTATCACTAATCATTTTGGTGATCTCTGCTTTCTGTAGTCTAGTGGATTATCAACATTTCAACAGATGTGAGCAGGATTCAGCATCCTGTCTTCACAGATGTTTTGGGAGAAGAAATCTACATGATTTTGTTTCTTTTCACATCTATATTTCCTTCTGAAATATTTACATTACTGAAGTTTCTCTAAATAAGCTGTTCTGTAGATGGAATAATTCATGGAAGTAATTAAGAAACTGCTGAAATTAGTTTTCAGATTTCCAGAAAGAAATTTTCAGATTTTCTAAAGCTTGTTCAAGAGGGGGAAAAAAAAAAACCCAACTGTGTGGGTGCTGACTGGTTTAATTCATTTATCTGGAGCCTCTATAGATGACTCCAAAGTAAAACCAGGGCTTCTGTAGTACATAAATCATGGATTTTTCTCTTTTTTTTTTATTCAGGGAGGACCGTTTGAACCATGGTGAGGTAAGGTTCTATTTTTTGCACAATTTTATTTGAATTTTAGTGTGAATACTCAGTATTATAATACAGGCTGCAATGGTATGATCTTGATATTTGTGGCTTGTTGGAAGGTAAGCATCTGCATCTTTTATTCCCTCATACTGGGTCTGGTACATCACTAGAATAACTCTGGAATGCTGAACAAAAAAAATATACTAGTTAATGCTAGGGTGGTGGTACAAGGGAGGAGTCTTTGGGGCTTTTGCTGTAGGAGTACAGAAAGACCCTGAAATTGGGCTGGACCTTCTATTTTCCCCATGTAGACTGAGAAGGAAATTGGTTCTTGCACCTGGGTTTCACATGACAGATAATGTTAAAATTCTGCTTTGAATATGTCATAATGAAAGTAATTCTACACGTGGTTCTTTTATTGAAATTTATGCAAAAAATAGAATTGAATGGCAGGTTTCTTTATTTGGAATTAAGTCAGCAAGGACAGTACAAAGCTTTCTTAAGAGCAGTTTATTTGTAGTTTGTGCTGTGAGAGAAATCTGATGCCATTCAAAACAGGATGATCAATCAGATGAAAGCACTGATTGCAAAACCACCCCTGATTTACCACTTCCAGCACTTCCACAAGGAACACAGATTGAATGTTAAGAGTGAGTGACATCTCTGAGGCTTTTTAACCTTTTCTGAGAATGCTACAGCAAGCTGCCTGTGGTTGTGTGAGTACCAAGGATGATACTTCACTTTGTCTTCTTCAAACTCACCACTGAAGCTATACTGGGAGTGAAGTTGTGTGTTTAAGACAGAAATGAGACCTATCTAAATGTGTGTTTATTGTTTCTTGGGTGTTTTTTTTGCAGCTGGTATACCATGCACTGCAGCTGTTGGCATACAGTGTCCTGGCCATTTTAATCATGAGACTAAAGCTGTTTTTGACACCACATCTGTGTGTTATGGCTTCCTTGGTGTGTTCAAAACAGGTATGGTCTTTTTTTTAATCCTGTAGTTATCTCAGTGCTTAGCCTATTACCCAGATATTTGTCCTAAAGCAGATTTCTCTGTGTATAATCTGAATCTGAGTGTGCCAGTTGAAAATATACCACATTATATTGCCTGTCAAAAAATATAGTTACACAAGTTCCATTCTGCCTTCTCCCCAAGTAAAGCAAATGACTTGTTTGATGCAATTTGTCCAAGAGCACTATTAAAGGAGTTAATAATCTGTGTACTGAGCTTGAGCATAGGGAGACATACACTGGACTTTATTTACACACTTCTATATCATGGCAAGCTTTTTATTGACTATCAATTTTATCCAGATAGTGTTTGACTTCATTTACAGTGTTTTTACAGCTTTAGAGCTTATTGCCTTCCATATTTTTTTGTGTATTCTTTCCAGAAGTATAGTTTTGAATTCCTGCATGTTGAAAACCTTTCAGCCTTAAAAATAAAAAATCCTGTGCCTAATTCAAATTTATTTTTCCCAGCTTGAAATCACCCATAACATAAAATGCTTCTAGATTTTCCCCAAGATATAAAAGATATTAGAATTGTCTTTCCACATCCCAGTATCTGAGGAATGATCTAGAGTGGAAATTTTGAAGGCAAAGAAAAATAGTTGGAGAAAGAATTAACCTATTCATTTGACAAAAACAAACCCCACTTGAATTAATATAAAAACTATTTTAAACTAAACTACAATGTAGCCAATTTGGTAATTCTTTCTTCTTAACTACTCATTTCACATATTTATGAGTATTTGCTTAGAGCCTCTAGCAAACTACCTGGGAAATAATGCAAGGGCCATCTTTTTTTAGTTCAAGAAAGGGAAGAGTAGCATATGTAGCAATATTAACTTTTTATTCCCAAAGTCTGCTTTTCTGATGTGTTTTTAGAAGTTTGCAGTGCAATCTCTAATCCATATATTACATCTTGAAACTCTTGATGTGAATACAAGATAAAATACTGTAAAACTGCAGTTAGCATTATTGAGTCATCTTTATTTGCAGAATTTGACACCAACTACAACTGTAAAAGCTGCATAAATGAGTTTTTTTAATAGAATTACAAATGTAATGCCCTATATTCCTCAAACATGAATGCTTCTTATGAGGTCTCACTGAGCTTTAGTGGAGAAGCAATAGCAGGGATGTTTTTTACTGTGATATATGGTAGGTTCCTTATAGATAAATAAAAATTGTTTCATGCACCATTATAGAATTGTTGTCTAGAAATAAATCAATTCTTGCATTTCAGTTGTTTGGATGGCTCTTCTGTAAAATCCAGCCCAAAACCTTGGTCTTTGCTATTCTAGCATTGATGGCAATAGAGGGCTCAGCAAACCTGCAAACCCAGTGGAACATCATGGGAGAATTTAGCAATCTGCCCCAGGAGGAACTTTTAGAGTGGATAAAAGTCAGCACCAGACAAGGTAAATGGTTTAATCATGTGCAACGTTGCCCATGTCCTGTGAGGTGTAACTAGAGAACTTGGTAGGACTGACTGCACCCATCCTTTTACTAACATGGGTAAAAGTGTCACAAAATGAGCTGGAAACAAAGTAGTTGCCTTTTTAGCAGGGAAACATTTTTAGGCCAACTGAGGTTTGATTGCTCATTTAACAGTGGTGGAAGAAGTGACAAATGAAAACATGTTGTCATAATGAGTACAATATTCTGCTCATTAAAAAACCAGTATTAAATTTTAGATGCTGAATTATCTAATGACATTTTGAGTTGAAGATTTTAGAAATATTAGTGATTTTTTGCATCTCCTGTTGGTACCCTCTATATGTTTTTTCTACAGGATTGCTGTTTAGATATTTGAGGACTGCTTCTTTGCTTTCACTGCTTGATTCTTCATGTCAAACATGCCTTTGCTTCTGCATTTCAGATGCAGTTTTTGCAGGAGCAATGCCCACAATGGCAAGTGTTAAACTGTCTACCCTTCGCCCTATTGTCAACCACCCTCACTATGAAGATGCAGGTTTGAGGTAAATTTTGGAGTTGGGGATTCATTTTGATTTGCCATTCATCCTGTCAGTGTTGTTAATAGGAATGGCATCATGTTATAATGTAAAATTTGTAGGGGAGAAGTGGCTTCAAACTTATATACCAAAAAAGTCAGAATGGGTTGTCATTTATTCGTGATATCTATAATTATTGAAACATTACAAACAAATTTTGTAAGGTAATTACTGGGTTTTGTACCTTGTTATTTTCAAAATCAGGATATTTTCCTAAGCTGGAATTGATGTCAAGGAAGGCATGCATTTCTTTTTTTGCATTTTAAAATCATTGCTTGATTTTTTTGTAATTTGGTAAATGGTTTTTTAAAAAAAAAAATACAAGAAAAAATAACCAAGATAGGGCTAAAAGAGAAAAGGAGGGGAGTCATTTTGTGTTCCTTATGTCCTTAGTTCTGTGTCTGGCATTAGCTGCCTTTAACTTTTGGTCAGCCCTGAAGTGGTTGGGCAGTTGGACTAGATGGTCACTGCAGATCCCTTCCAGCTGAAATGTTCTATTCTGACTACAAAAATATAGGACAGGGCATATCAGGGGAAAATAAAACAGATGATATGGCATCAGGAAATGAACAGGAGTTAACAATGTCATGCTTTACACAATCAAAGGATATTATTGAGTAATACAAGCAGGATGATGGTTTACAAGTGCTGATTTTGCTTGACTCAGTGCAGGCAAGGCATCATCAGGTCTTGCACTCTGCATTTTAAAAAAATTTATAGAGAGACTGGGCAGATGATTTCTTCTGATCATCTCTAGTCCAAGCAAGGTGGTTTCTAGCCTGAAATATCATATGGTGAATGCATTGCTGTGACATCTTCGCATCTGCTCACAGGGATCATGGATCTTGTTACAGAATTATCTCCTGAGCAATCATAGGGCTGTGTACATAGTTCTTGGAATCATTATGTTTGAGAAACAATAGTCACATTAAAACAAGTGGCACTCTTAATTTAAGCTTTGTTTTAGCCTGTCTTCTGAAATAAAAGCCTTCTTGTCCAGTCTGAAGCTAAAGCTCACATTTTCATGCCATGTTGCCAGCTAACATCTGTGTATCTCTTTTTGAAGGGCCAGAACTAAAGTGGTGTACTCCATGTACAGTCGAAAACCTGCAAAAGAAGTAAAGAGAGAATTGATAAAACTGGGAGTGAACTATTACATTCTGGAAGAGTCCTTGTGTGTAAGCAGAAAAAAGTGAGTCACCTCTCTGTGGTTCACCTGCTGGGCCATGATCCTGGGCAACCTGCTTTAGGTCACCCTGCTGGAGCAGGGAGCTTGGGCTGTGCTTTATTACAAGTGCCCAAAATACATTGTTGGGTTTTTTTTGTCCAGCATCTCTAGATATTAATAAGTATAATTAACTTTACTCACACTGGCAGCCTTGTGGTGTTTGTGTGCACCTGAAAAGCTCTGTTGGATGTAGTTGTAAACTTCAGTGTAAGCTACAGAAGAGATTCACAAAGGGAACAAGTCATTCTGTGATGGCAAGAGCATGTGGATAATGAAAGCCTAGAATGGATAAAAGGGACAGAGTAAAACAGAGTTTGAGCTTTTGACCATTGCTGGTCACTGAAAATTGTCACATTACATTTCCCCCCCCCCAGTTTTTCTTTTTGGCTTTTAGAGCATGATCAGTTTGGAATTTTGATATTGTATTCTTTGAATTTAGAATAAAAGGCAATTAATCTGTTTATTTGCTATTATCTTTGGCAAAAAATAGGAAATTCTCAGTAATTCTAATTTTGAAGGATCACTGTACAAGGAATTTGGGTTATGTGCCTTAATAAAAACACAAAGATTTACTACCTTTTTTAAAGGTTTTATTGCCTAATTTTTCTTTAGGAGTGTGAACATCACCTTCTATTTTATAGGAAGTTTTAAGCATCCCTGGTAATGTATATTGTATAATTTAAGTTGTTTTATATGCTTCCTTCTCCAAATTAATCCTTATTAATTATATAACCACAAAAGCAGACAAATTTTACAGGGTCTCAATACTATTTTTAAAATTACTACTATATTTATTGGTTTTGTAATCTAAGAATTTCTAGTATAAAGGCAAAAAAATAGAGATGGCCCAATTGGATATTCATAGAGGGGGGTATAAAGTTGAGTTCAGCAAGTTTATGGGTTTTTGATGGCATTTCTTCTCTTGTCTTTTGTTATTTCTGTTTTCTAGGCCTGGTTGCAGTATGCCTGAAATTTGGGATGTGGAAGATCCTGCTAATAGTGGCAGAATCCCTTTATGTTCCCTTATGAGCAAGGATTCCAGGCCATATTTCATCACAGTATTTGAAAACAGCAATTACAGAGTCTTGAAGATTCCAAAGGAATAACATTTCAATGCAAAGAACCATCCGTCTTTCAACTTTTTAAACTAGTAACTGTAAGAATTCTAAATCAGAAATACCTTTTCTACTAGACTTAAAATGGAAAAAAAAAAAAGTGTATTTTATTTTTTACCATCTTAAAGTGAATTCTGATGATAGAAATATCTTAAACTTAACCGTTTGGATTTCTATTTCAGGGTCAGTCCCTTGAGATTTGCTATGCAAATGATTATATGCTTGCACATTTTATTTAACACTGATCCAAAAAATAAAAAAGAGTTTAAAAGTAGCCATGGGAAGTAACTCCATTCTCCAAACTGATGATATTGTGAAATGGGACTGTCAGAATGTCAAAGCACGTTTGTTTAAAGCCTTGGTGCTAGCAGCTAGGAACAAAGGAATGGTGCTACAGCATCTGGCATCACATTTCCCATGTCACTGTCATTAAGCAGCTCCCTTCTGGACAAGGTGATACTAGAAATTCTCTTAAAATTCATAGTTTCACTAGTCATGTCTGAGAGAAATACATTTATTTTGTTTTTTCTTTGAGATGACTAAGAACATTTGTCATTTTGGGATCACTTAACACGTGCTTTTAAGCTTGCTTTTGAAATGGAAAAGTTTGTAGCCAGACTTGAAACTTCATTATTTAGGTGCATGTTCTTGGAATCTTACTGATATTAAAAAAAAAAAAAAAAAGAAAACTAATAAGGGTAATATTTGCAGTGAGCAATAGTGTAGCTTCTCAGTGTCCAAGGATTTTTAGCATTCTTGTGCATTCAGAATAAGCTGGTGTATAATAGACATGAAATTTTTAAGGGAAGATGCTTTATTCAGGAAAAATCTGTCATAGCCTTAGAAAGATACTAAAATAAATCCTTCACTGCCTTAACTAGACCTTCAGCGCCTAACTTGATAAGAAATTTACTTTCAAATTCTATGCCCTGTTTTCTTTTTCCCTGTGTATCAGATCCTGCCTGGATTTTATCATCAGCATTAAAGAGAAATAAAAATTCAACCCCATTGTGGTACGAGTGTAGTTAGTTGTGTGGGTACAATTGCCTCAACTGCTTCTGCAGTTTCTCTCTCCTCTTGGTGTCACACCATTATTAGAAGGTGATAAAGAATTTAGAGAATTCACTTTCCAAGATATACCCAGTGCAAGGACACCCTTTTAGTTGTTCAACTCACCTGATAGGATTTTTGTCTCTTTATTGCCATGGGTAAATATCACAGCAATTGTGATTCTCTGGTCTAAGACTTCTAAAGTCTGTTTCTCTGGATATCACTCATGTTGGCTTTGTTTTGGCTTGGGTATTTTTTTTAGTTGTTGTTGAGACATCAGTCTGTTGATAGGACTGGTCTTTTTAGCCCTAATAGCATCTTAGAAATATCAGATGCTGAAGGAATTGGGTCCATCACACCTATAATGCTATCAGTCAAATGGGAACCTGTCATAAAGTAGTAGTGTAACAGCTGATCAGTATTCTAAGACTTCTTATTTTTTTAAAATCAGTTTTATTGAGAGGGTGAGGGAGAATGGCTAAAAATGCATTAGCTTTTTAACTTTTACAGAGTAGATTTTGGAGAAATTTCTATAAGGAAACTATCAAAAAAACAAAAAGGGCTTTTGGGAAGTCACTTTTTAAAATGTTAATTGAATTCAAGGAAGCAAGGAAAAAAATCTTTATATAAACATTGTGACTAGTGTTACAGCACAAAAAGGTACTGTATTTTTATGAAGTTTATGCCAAATGTTGACATGTACTTATGTGGTTAAATAAAAAAAGACAAAGATGGAAACTGTTCTCATGTTTCTGCTGGATGTTACATTTCTGCTCCTGTCTCTCTTGAACTGAAATTTAACACGGTGGCCACAGCAGATATGGGAAATAAATCACAAATAATGCACAGAAGTGCTTCAGATAATGAAACCAGGCTCACACCTCTCTCCAGCCTCGTTTTTATTTGGAGTATCAGGGCAGGAATGTGTGAAAAGACTGTGAGATAATGTCAAATATCTATTTCCAAGCAAAGGCAACTTGGCAGGCAGTTTAGAATGATTTTTGTTGTTGTTGTTCTAAGTTTCTAAATGCAGGTAATTAAGAAACAAGGCCCCAAAACTGGTAGAATGAAGAAACATTTGAAAATCAAGGTTCAAAGATGTTGAGGTTCAGGCTGAGAGAGTTGGGCTGGTTCAGCCTGGGGAAGAGAAGGCTCTGGGGAGACTTTCTGGTGGCCTTTCAGTACTTCAAGGAGGCCTACAAGAAAGCTGGGGAGGGACTTGGAGTAATAGGATGATTTGTAATGGCTTCAAACTGGGAGAGGGGAGATTTAGATTAGAAGTGCTTTGTAGGAAGAAGTTCTTCACTAGGAGGATGGTGAGATGCTGGAGCAGGTTACCCAGGGATGTTGTGGATGCTCCATCACTGGATGTGTTCAAGGTCATGTTGGATGGAGCTTTGAGCAGCCTGGTCTAGTGGAAGTTGTCCCTGCCCATGGCAGGGATGTTGGAATTAGATGATTTTTAAGGTCCCTTCCAACCTGAACTATTCTTTAAGTCTATGTGCTTTAGTAAGAATGTTCTTCATTTGATGAGGAGGTGGTCGTTACTGAGGAGGTGGCCAGATGCTGTTATTTTCAGCTTATCTGGAGGGATACTTATACTGTCCCTCTCTTTGAACTGCTCTTAAACCCAAATAATTATTGTCATCTAATGCTAAGATGTTAAAATCTAGGAATGGAAAAATATAAAGTAAAAACAGTGGGGGATAAACATGGGGATCCTTGAATCTGGTGTGTCATCTGACCATTTTCTTGTCATCAGTAATCTGTTCTCAGTTCCAAAGGAAAGAGTTTAAGTAATATGAAATGTTAACATGGTGCTCCTGTATGTAAAATTTGTGCTGATCACTGCAACTTGAACCAGAAAATGGAAGTTTGAGGTTTTGCAGCTCTCAGGGAAGTTGTTTTTCCTTTCTCAAGACCCTCAGCCATAAATCTGTCACTCAAATACGTTTGTTTTTAAATATATGCTGGTCTTGATGTAATTTAGGCACAGGGCTGGAATACTTCAGGACCTGAAAACAGGTTCTATTACCTTCTAGTAATAATGTGTCATATAGATTTGTCTGTTGGAGTATGAAATATTGCTGGCTTTGAGTGCATTAAATTTCTTCCGTGCAATGGGCACAATTGAAACTCGTTATCAGCCTTTTGATAAATTGTGCAGTGGGATGTTTAGTATGGAGACCAAATGAGGCACCTTTGTGAAACAAAGATGCTGAGTCCTGGTCTCTGCTGCCTTGCACTCTGTCATTCTCAGCTACCATTCTAAAAAATACCTTTGCTTCTGCTTTTTTCTCTGCAGTTCAGCTTAAATAGTGAACCTAAACCAGCCAGGATCTCTTGGATATTTATGATTTTAAGACTCTGAGCTCCACAGCACAGGACTTGCTCTGAGTGAAGTAAACTCCTTCAGCAAAAGCAGCTAGGTGAGGATGAGTATAAAGACAGGCTTGTCAGAAATCAGCATTGTTAAAAGCAATTACAGAATGCTAATTGTGGCTTAGGACCTGTGTTTCCAGAGTCCATTCTTGTGGAGTTTCAGCAGCTGGACAAAGGAATCCAAATCCTGTCTGGTAGTTTTGCTTTTCTCTGTGAGCTTTATTGTTGTACTCCAAGGAAAGAGGGTGGCAGAGGTGCTGTGAAAGGGAGGCTTCACTGGTTGAATGTTAATAGAGGTTAGATGCTAAGGAATAATTATATTTTGAGTGAAAGTAAGCTTGGGCACAACTTCTAAACCTGAGAACTTGCTCAGGCAATGAAACCTCTCAGATAAATAGATATAAACACACATAGAGCTGTAGCTGTATCACAGAATCAGAGTGGTCTGGGTTGGAAGGGGCCTCTGGAGATCATCTTGTCCAACCCTTCTGCTAAAACAGGGTCACCTAGAGCAGGGTGCCCAGGCTTGCATCCAGGTGGGTTTTGAAAGTCTCTGGAGAAGAAGACTCCACAACCTCACTGGGCAGCTGCTCCAGGCTCTGCCACCCTCACAGGAAAGAAGTTTCTCTTCCTGTTCAGGTGGAACCTCCTATGTTCTAGTTTGTGGCCCTTATCTTGTCACTGGACACCACTTAAAAGACTCTGGCCCCCTCCCCTTGACCCCTGCCCTTTAGGTATTGAGAAGATCCCCTGTTGTCTTCTCCAGGCTAACCATCCCCAGGCTCTCAGCCTTTCCTCATTGCAGAGATGCTCCAGTCCCTTCATAATCATCTTCCTGGCCTCTGCTGGACTGTCTCCAGTAGTTCTTTGTCTCTCTTGAACTGGGGAGGCCAGAACTGGACACAGTACTCCAGATGTGGCCTCACTATGCTAGGGTAGACAGAGTAGATGGCATAACTTCTATTTCTGTTTTGGCTATGATAAACTGTCCACAGCAGAGCTTTAAGCTGACTAGTTGGGTCAGAGTAGAAGGATTTGCAGGGTTAGGCAGAACCTCCTTCCCTCTCAGCACGTTGGCTTCTTTCCAACCCTGTGCAGTAATTCCCCGTTAGTGACCCAAGTTATAGAATGTCTGAAATCATCAGTTGTTTGAGTGGGTTCATCGTGTAGTAGTTCAACAATTTTATTACTTCCTATTACAGCATGTACAGAACATTTATTGCCAATAGATCATGAGATATGGATGGAACACAGAGAGGGGAATTAATAATCCTGGTTTCATATCCGGCTGAGGACTCGGGCAGGGTCCCTGTGGCCAATCTTCCACCTTGTCAAGGTTGTCAGTGTGGAAACTGCTTCTTGAGTGCAAGCAGCACCTGCTTGGCTTCTCTGACAGGAAGGATGGCATCTAGCTTTGGACCTGAAGAATATGAAAGCATTTACTAGATCTCATTTAAAGGTAATATTGAGTCTGAAACAGCACAGCTTGATATTAATCCAAAAGGAAAAAAAGTCACTCGAGTTCATTCTTCAGGCTTGTCCAAGCTTATTTTCAAAGCCAGTGCACCAAATTCTTACTTTGATTACTGGTTAATGCTGTGTTCAGACACCTGAGCAGCAGCAGCATCTTCGTGTTACTGAGCAACTG